GGGTGATGGGTATTGAGGAGGGCACCTTTTGGGATGAGCACTGGGTGTTGTATGGAAACCAATTTGACAATAAATTTCATATATTGAAAAAAAATAAATTATATTAAAAAAAATGTGTTTATGTTGAGAGAAAAGTTCTTTGTTTACCCTTTCAGAGATTCAGCATAGTGTGAGTCTGTAGGTCTCCTGACTTATATGAACACCTTTGTCCCAAGTTAATGTTCTATTTCCCCCTAATTCTGCAATACAAACAGATTCACAAACATCACCAGAAAAGAAATCAAGTATTATTTGTTCATCTAAACTACCAAGGGATGTCTGCAAGTGAAACTCAAGGATCAGCCAAACCCATGTTTATTGGCCCCAAATCAGAATGTTCAAAATTATTCAACAGACTATATAGACAGCCAAAGTTATTTCAAGAGGTAGAAGGTAAAAATACTTCTTGCGTTGATGCACAGAAGATGTTTAAGCAACGTATGTATTGAAAGTACAGTTTTGAATATAAGTAGTGGTTTAACTCAAGTGTTGTCTGTCTTCACATGGATAGTTAAATGGATCAACATGCATGTTCCTCCCACACTCAGCCAAAAAGATCCCATAATATAAGAATATGCTACAGCTGGGCCTTGGGATGTAAAGACTATCCTGGCAGTTACCCATAAAGGAATCTCAGGACACTTACTCTTCAGCTCTTTACATGGTCATATTTTAAAGCCAATCTTTAGGATAAAAAACAACCCATTAGATGCTCTACCTATGTCTTTGAGAAGGCAGAAATAATATCTTTGGCAAATCGACATCTTATTTTGAGATAACCTGGAGTAGCTACCTTTTTCTTTTTTGCATCGTATGATTACAAATTTCTTAAAATTTCCAGGTCTCTGCCTCCTCCATAAAACATTATAAAGAGTGAGGTACAGTGGGGGAGTGTAAGGAGTTTAACCAAGAAGATGCTGGAGAAGCGTTTGTTGGTACAGGCTTAGAGCAACTCAACAAAATCATTCACGACCAAAATAAATTGCACATTACACAAGCTCTCAATACTCTACTTTAAAAAAAATGCCCAGTGGAAACAGTCAATTCTAAGATTTTTTTTCTTTTTTTGGGCTGTAAGGCAAAATCTGTCAACTAACATCATCTGTACACAATCTGGTTTATTAACTCCTGAAATATGATATTTATTTTTTAATTGAAATTTTAGTTAACATATATGCAATATTGGTTTCAAGAGCAGAATCAGTGATTCTTCACTTATATACAACATTTATTTTTAAAAAACTATCTACTTAAAATGCTGCATTCATAATTGATACATTCAAGTCACTACTGGAAATAAAAGGAATAAATTATTTTGTATCCCATAGATGAACCTTCTTGTCGTATGGCTTCAAATTCAAGGAACGCTTTGAATAATTTATTCCTTACCAATATTTGTGCTACCAAAATTTGTCAATGAGAGGATTAATTTTGTAAAATAATCAAAGTTCTCGGCATAAAAACTACTATTATTCCGATTTGTCCATAAAGGCAAAAAATACACATACCTCAACAAATATAAAACACGGGATGATGGAATAACTTCGTTGAGTGTTGTTTCCTACAGCCATTTCTTACACCATGTAGCAAGGCTGCACCGTCTAAAACTGGCCAGGCTGAAATAAAAACAGGTAGCATGGTATAAGAACCATAAGTTTAGCAGTCCCTTAGGGATTTACATGAAAATATCAGCTACCCTCTAGATAAACAAGCTGTGTACAAACAATGCAAACAGTGATCTATAACATAATCAAGTCAGACTAATCATCATTTCAGAGAAAAGACATGTATATACTAGCCATGAGCAGTCTAGAGTTTAAATGACAGGTAGTGAACCCCCCACCCCTGCAAAAAAAGCTACAGTGAATTGAATTCTAATTGCCTAGACCTGTATCTTGCTTTACCTGAGTAGACTGCCCTCATGCCGTGAAAGGCAGTTTCTGCTACAATACATTTGTTGTTTTCCATACTGCTCAGATCTCCTCTCTCTAGGCCTGATTCTCCCAATTTGCAAGGTTTGTTTCTACCCTTGCCTATACCTTTGGAGCTGACATTTAGTACTGAGGCACTAACCCCTGACTTCTTACCCTGACCACCCTTTGCCCTTGCTCCTTTGATTATTAATTATTTTGGATTAATACATCACTGATCCCTCTCACTGAGTTCTCTCAGCCCCGTGTGTGTGTGTGTGTGTGTGTGTGTGTGTGTGTGTGTGTGTACCAAACACAAAAACACCATAATAAAATCTCTCAATTTACAAAAATGGAGTATCTAGGCAACCGTAGATTATTTTCAGTATTTGATAGAATATCTCTGACCTTGAACCAAAAATATTCCTGTATAAGATTTGTTTTTTTAAGAAGAATAAAAATTAACCAAACAACCAAGTTGAGGTTTTAGACTTTTATAAAACTTCCAAGGCTAGATGAAAAGAATTTTCCACTACACCTTTATTTTCTATCCAAAGCAACACATAATATGTTTCAGGTACCTGTTCTTGATAGTTATTATTTTTTGCCTGTTATGTTTCTGTGTTACCCTTCCTAATAGTTGTCATGGGTTATTGCATGAAGAGTGACACAGGACTGCACTATCCTTAAAGGTCATGAATTAATATTTTTAACTTAATTCTATCTTTGTAAAGTCCTCCTTACCTTTTCTAGAAAGAAATTTTACATTTCATTCTCTTTTTGAGATACCAGCTTCTCACTTGATTAAAACTTTCTCTGATCAAATTTAACATTTACATGTGGTATTAAGTCCACATCAATCACAGCGCTTAAATTACTTAGGTTTTAGGCAACTTAAGTTTTCAATTAAAATCAGATACTATCTGTTATAAAGTAATACCCATAATAAATCTATTTCACCATTCTTTTTTGGGACTTAGGAAGAACTAACTTTTTTACAATTACAAAAGAATCCATATGTAGGGTACAGGTTGAGTTAATCTGGCAACCACATATTCTTTACATTTTACCCTTAATCCAAATATCTTAGAATACACGTATCTATGATTTAGAGGAGTCTGTACTTCTTTCACAGTGCCATATATTTGAAAAGAAAATTAACTTTTAATCACCCCAAAGCAAGCATGGGCACCAGAAAAAGCAAAGGCATCAGACACCTAGTATTTTAGATGGTTTCTCCAGATGGTTAATAAAAAAATAGCAATGAAAAGGAGAATATAAGACAAGACTTAGAGTATCATATAAAATCTCCTTTATCTTCAGTCTTTTAGCTCAAAATACAACCTAGCTTTTTATGTGTACAGAGATTTTACACACACACACACACACACACACACACACACACACACACACACAATTAACTACATTGAGGCATATTTTACATATATATAATTCACCCATTTCAAGTATTCAATGATATTTTAGTAAATTTACCATGTTGTGCAACTGTCACTATAAAACAATTTTAGCACTTTTTGCTCACCCCAAAAAGAATCCTCTTCCTCACCAGCACCTCCCTGACCACCCTACCGCTTCTCCAGCCAAGTCATCCACTAATCCACTAATCTACTGTCTCTATAGAGACTTTCTGTATTCAAGTAAATAGAATTATACAATATATGGTTTCTTGACCTGGATTCTTTTATTTAGCACTGTTTTTGAGGTTTATTCATGTCATAATGCACATATCAGTAATTTTTCCCTTTTTATTATTGCTGAATAGTATTCCATTGTATATCTATAGCACCTTCACCAACTGGCAGAAACATAGGTTGTTTCTAATTTTTGCTGTATCCAATCTTAGGTTGCATCTAGTATTGTGGGTAATGATGCTAAGAACATCTGTGCATAAGTCGTGTGTAGATACATGTTTTCATTTCTCATTGTTAGATACCTAAGGGTATCTGGGTCATATGCTACATTATATTTGCTGGGTCATATGCTACATTATATTTAAGAGAACTGTGGACGTGTTTTCCAAATTGGTTGTGTCATTTTACATGGATACCAGCAATGTAAGCGAATTCCCATTTGCCACATCCTAACATTTTTATTGCCTATCTTTTTTTAAATTATAGTCATTCTAGTAGTTATGAGATGATAGCTCATTGTGATTTTCATGTAATAACAAATGATATTGAGCATCTTTTGATGTGCTTATCAGCTGTTATATCTTCTTTTGTGAAATATCTACTCAAATCTTTCCGTTTTTTTTTTTTTTATTTTTTTTTCAACGTTTATTTATTTTTGAGACAGAGAGAGACAGAGCATGAACGAGCGAGGGGCAGAGAGAGAGGGAGACACAGAATCGGAAACAGGCTCCAGGCTCTGAGCCATCAGCCCAGAGCCCGACCGCGGGGCTCGAACTCACGGACCGCGAGATCGTGACCTGGCTGAAGTCGGACGCTTAACCGACTGCACCACCCAGGCGCCCCAATCTTTCCGTTTTTTTGACTGGGTTATCTTACTGCTTTCAAGGTGTAAGTGTTGCTTTACATTCCAAATACAAGTTTCTTATCGGATATGTATTTTGTCTTTTGACTATTAATGTATCTTGGCATAGATTCCTTTAGGTTTTTTTGCTTGGAGATTTCTCACTACTTGAATCTGTGGGTTTATGGTGTTTTTTTGCCCAGATTTAGGAAAATTTTCAGCATTATTCCTGGAATACTTTTCAACATGATTTCTCATCTCCTGGGACTCCAATGACATGAATATTAGATCTTTTGCTTTAGTCTATCATGTCCCTGAGACTAATTTTCCACCTCGGTCTATTTTCTCTGTTGTTCAGAATAGGTATTTTCTATTATTCTGTCTTCAAGTTCACTGATTCTTTCCTCTTTCATCTTTATTACGGTGTTGAGTTATATCCATCCACTGAGTTTTTAATTTCAGTTGTATTTTTTAATTCTAGAATTTCCATTTGCTTTTTCTTTATACTTTCTCTTTCTTTACTGAGATTACTTTTTTCATTTGCTTCAGCATGTTTGTAATTGTTTATTGAAGCATTTTTATGAAGACCAGTTAAAAATTCTTGTCAGATGCTTGTGACATCTATGTCATCTGGGTATTGGTATTTCTTGGTCTTAATTCAGTTTGAGATCATCCCTGTTCTTGGGATGAAGAATGATTTTTGATTGAAACCTTGGGTTATTACATGATAAGGCTCAAGATTTTGTTTAATCCTTGTGTTTTATCATACCTCCTCTGATACTCCTCCAGTAGGTTTGTGTTATAGCCATGTGAAGGTGCCACAGGTTCTCCACTTGGCCTTCTATAACACCTGGTTGGGGAGGGGCCCCTTTGCTAGGCAAAAGTAGAATTCAAGGTCTCTACTGACATCCTGGCTGGAAGGGGGAGAGGTACCTCATTTTTATTGCTCCCCATGTGGCGTCCACAGACACTGTGGGAAGGTGGCCTCATGATTGCTGAGTAGTGGTAAAATTCCTGACTTTCCACTAGCCCCCCCTCTGATGCCACCCCAGTGAAAAGGAAGTAGGGGTTCCTCAGTACTTCCTGGTAGGGGTGAGAGGCCAGGCTCCCCACATATTTCCCTCTGATACTGGGAGGTAGGGAGACAACTCATTACTGCCCTGCATGAAATAAAGTTCTGGCTCCCCCTTGACTTTTTCTGACATGACCTCAGCAGGAATCTGAGGGAGTCTCCTTATTGCCTAGCAAAGGTAGAAGTCCAGGGTCTCCACTTGGCCTTCACTAGTTCAGCAGAAGAGATGGGACTATAGTTTTTTCTGTGGTGTTTGGCTGGAGTCAAGAGGTTCTTTTCTAAAAGTTTTCTGTTTTCCTCGGCTGCCTTTTCCCTACCCTTTGGCTGAGCTTTTCTTGGGGCTATTTTGTCTGTATTATTCTTACCCAGGTATCCAGATTCTCCATCTAGTCTGAGAGAAGCGGCAAAAAGAAAACCGTGGGAACTCACTATTGTGTTGTTTCTTGTGTGCTAAGGTCCTTAGATAGTCTACTTTTCCTTCGATCTCTCAATTTCCTTATGTTTATAGAACATTTAAGATTTTTAGTTGTTTTCGGTCAAAGGCACAGGGAAAAAGTACATCTTACTCCATGCTCCCAGAAACAGAAGTCATCAGAATCTTTTTGAAGAAGTACCACATAGTCCAGTCACCAAGATTCTAGTACAGCCCAGCCCAGCTTTGTTCTCATGAACTTGAGTTTCTCAGTGCCCAAGGTTTCAAATAAGAGAACATATCTTATCATTCATTCATTCATTCATTCATTCATTCATGAGTCCCTAAGTCATGCCACATATCCCATTAGGCAAAACCAGAAGCAATGAAGTGGTCAAATACCCTGTGGGTATAACAGGAAGAAGGATAGGAAGGATAGGAAGAAGGATAATGATAGCACAAATAAATAATCAATTCTAATTCTTGCGGTCAGGGATCTCTTTATCCATCAGTTATATTGTACATTAATCTTTTATGCATTAGGCACAGTAGACATAGTGCCTAGGATCCATAATACTTTTAGGGGCCTATGCAAAGACTTTAATTTCTTCTAAAGCCAGAAAATGGACTTTGAGGCAGAAGAAAATTTTAATATATATTATTAAATTTAGTTTTATGCCAATT